CAAACGTTAACTAAATTTGATACTATTTCCCCTCTTGAATATTTATTAACTTCCCATCATACGTATATCATCTTATCATAATATCAGCGCATAAGTCTAACATGAATTGATGAGCGTGCCATATTCATTTCGAAAGAAGATAATATAATGAGCAATGACCAAATACATCGCAACATTATTTTGTAAAAACTGGTTGAACTATCTTTAGCAGTTCATGCAATACCACCACCATTACCATCTGTTTCATTCTATTCGTTCTTTTATAATTTCACAATTTTTATGCAAATTTTTCTGAATTTCTCTATTTAGAATTTTTTATACGAATTCCAAAGCTGAAAAATTTTTCGCAAAGTTAAAACTTTTTAAGTGGTTGAAAAATGTTGTACAGATTTTTACAGTAATTTTAAGTTTTGTTTTCAATTTGCAAATTACATCATTAAAGGTGATTAATATTATTGATAAGTGAGAGTTGACTTGTCACACTATCGATAATAAATGTATGTAATAGTGCATGAGAATCCTGAAATATGCAACATATTTTTCATCACTTGACAAAAGATAAATCAATTTTAATTGAGCATCAAATTTACGATTTTATTCATAAATCTAAATAAACAATTCGTTTAATGAAATATCACGGAGACAATCACATTAAGAAATTTGATAAAGTTCAATTTTACTTTTTCATGCTTGTAATTGCTAAAGATTTTTTTGTCCAGAAGTGTTCAAGCCAAAAACGCACTAACAATTTTTTGAATTTTTCTAGAAGCTAACACATTGCGGTAGATGAACAGTTAAACCTGATATTTCAATAAAAAGAAAAACTAATCAGCATTAGATTTCGTTGTTCCAGAACCTTAATAACTCAAAAATGACCTTCACTTTGATTTTTTTCTTTTCAATCCATGTATGACTAGAACTAAAATCTTGATACTCGAACAGATAAATAACTGAATTAGCATTTTCAGCATCCCAATTAAATAGATGTTTCCCGCTTACTAACATTTCTGTGAGAAAAAGCCAAGCCGAATTGGTACATTTTAATCCACCGTGATAAAAAATTAGCCAAGTTCGATGAACTTTAACCCATTGATTTAGAAACAGCTCAATTGATCACGGACAAATTACAATCTCAACACATGAGTATGGTAGTGGTATTCTCTCGAGATTTATGCTATGATATCAATTTCTGTACCCTCCTCGATTCCAATACTAATTCATCTTTCCATCTCTCTTTCTCTCTTTCTTTCTCTCTTTCTTTTTTTCTTCCGTCCTCAATCTTCAACATTTTCTCAATCATCGTAACATATAATTGAATTTTTACAACAATCCTTGTAAGTTTCCAAAATCAAGAAGCCATTTTTTATTCTTTGTCCCCTTCTCTCTCCCCTCCCCTCTCTCTCCCTCTCTCTCTCTCTCTCTTCCTTTACATTCTAACTACCCGAATCTTCCAAAAAATATCGCACTCTTTCATCCTCCTCACAATACCACTGTCATATTGCGAAATTATTCGGGAAGTAGTTTTGCAAGTGATTAAGTAACTCTCGTACGAATGGGTACTAACAACGTGACCTGCCCACCCAGTAATGATGTATATTTCAGGTCATGAAGGAAGAAGTAATTAAAGATGTACGCGAAATTGGAGAAAGTGACGATATCGTTGCAGAAGTTAGTTCTTTTCTGTTTTCATTCTCTTCGCTATTCATCAGGAATTTAGGAGGAATCGGTTATGCAAAATTTAGCTATATAGCATAGGAGTAAGCAATAGCATTCTGTATTAAGCATCTTTTCGATTATATTAAGCATTGCTATATTAAGCATTTTTTCGATTATCATTTTAAATAAATGTTATTCCGCAAAATTGTGATTGGATTTCTATCATTTGCTTCAAAGAATAATTTTTTTTAATATATTTTTGCATTCTTTCTCCTCCATTAGATCTCTTTATCATAAAAGTGAAACAGAGAGTTAGTTGGATTATAGTGATGAATGGAAGTATTGTATTGCTTATAATGAATTTATATTGCAGTGCTTCTTTTATATTTCTTGTGATTACTTAGTTGATAACAGTGTTATTGTATAGACTGGAGAGGAGCGGATAGGTATTAGTTGTCACAATTTGCTTTGGATTCATTTTTGCTTATGTAATTAGTGCTATAGTGAGCTAATTTTAGCTCAATCATTTATGATATAATTGTTTTCGCATGCATGCTGAGAACTCTGTGATATATTACTCTTTAACTTAGGCACTGGTTTATTTTTTTCGTAAAGAAATGGTTATTTCATAATTCATATTCGCTAAATGCACGTATACCTTTTGAAAGTTATCATTAAAAAAAATTACATGGAGTGTTAGAGATTGCTGGTAGTAGTAGCAGCAGTAAAATAACCGTTATTTTTGTTTATGTTCAGTATAGCCGAAGAACAGTTAGTGTTGATCTTATGAGATCATAATATGCTTGTATTATGTATTAGTATTTTTTTATGCCATTGAAATTTGCTCGAAAATTTATTTTTGTTACAGATAGATGTAATACTTTCTCGAAATTGCTGCTCCAGTGAACTTTATCGTATTCAGTATCCAATACGTAAAGTAAATCCATTTGGATGTGGTGTTACAAAAGCACGTTACAAAAAGAATGTCAAAATGGTAATAAATTTTCTCAGCTTATGTCAGAATTGATCAAGTAAGCTGACATTTTTCAAGAATTAAATATTTCTGATATCATGTCAGTAAATGCAAAATCGAAGATTGATTTATCATTTTCTCATATATTATTTATAGTTGGAAATACGACTGCCAGTGGATAAATTATCGAGCTCGTTCGACAAAAGTCGTGCTGAACATCTTGCATTGATTTCCGGAACAAGTGCAGGAGCATCTACAGCTGACAATTTGTATGCAACGTTTTAAAGAAATTTAAATTTACTCCTTGAAGTTTCCATTGTTGCACTTAATCCATATAATTTCTATTTTTTTAAGTAACGACTTATCTCCTTTCTGTTAGCTTGAAAAAAGTAATAATACTTTAGGAAATGAATTGCTTCATATTGAATTCTAAAATTTAAATCTTCCTCTTTCAAAATGCGGTACCATTATGTAATTTGACCTTCGAAAATTAGTTTACATTCTGAATTCCATATTTCCGGAGTCCATGGATTAACTGTTCAAGTTGATTATTATTTTAGCTTGATATCCATCACTAATGTATACATTTAATATTCTAGTCGAATAATGGACGAAGAAATATACATTGGACGAAGTTTTGGAAATGATGCACCAGTTCATTATGCTGCTGGATTTTTCAAAAATCGTTAGTCTCTAAAATTTGATTTGAATGTAAACATTAATTTAAAAATTTATGCATGTTTGTCATACTTCAATATCTTTTGTTGAATGACCGTTTTGTTATAAAATACTTCTAAATCATTTTATTATAAAACAGATTTTCAAAACGTATTCTATGTTGGAAATGTGTTTTGCAGAATGTTTGTATATATGCCCTTTGAATGGTACGTTTGATATGAAACGTTCGATATCCTATCTGAATGGCCAAGGAAAAAATCGCACAATTAAGGCTTCTGAAGGTACCAGGCTTTTTTTAATCCTTTTTTAATTGTTACTTATTAAATTTTTTGTTTTTTTTGCATTAATTTATGTAATTATATCATCTCGTCTTTTTACTTATCATGTGAAATTATTTCTAAGTCTTTCTTCTTTCACTTTTGACTTAAACTAATTTTTGTATTTCACGTCTGTGACTCAACCGTTTTTCATTCTTCTTGCTTTGTGTGCTTTGGATGTCTTGAACTTCACTTCTCACGTGACACATATCATTTTGATGAACAGCTGCAAAGTTTACGATACTGAGTATAATTTCGCATTTCAAATGCATTAAGGAATTTATACAAAGATGTTTTATATGCAAAACAAGACATATGTCTTGCTTCTAAACTAGCAGATGATCAAAAAGTTCACAAGATTTCAAGCATGTAACTGATCTTGAAATGATAATGTGGAGGATTTTAGATGATATGTCTGATTCGGAGGAGGAAGGAAGTTCTAAAAATCCATCACCGATTCGCGTCCGGTTCAAACGACCCGAAACGGAACGACAAAAAAAGCGTCGTGAGCAATCGTCTGCTCATCGAAGTCGTCTTATTGAGCAAGATCCGTGGACTCCATTAAATATTAATTCTGTCACGGTCAATTTGCTTGTCATCTTTGGCATTAAAAAAATTTATATTTTAAATGGTTTCTGGAATAAAACTTGTTAATATTTTTATGTTAGAAAATTAACCGTTTCATGAATTCTTCGTTTCTAGTTTACTTAATTTATTTCAATTGTAAGATATTTAGCTTGGTTGATTGCAGGATACGGAATCAATAAAATATAGCGAATCCTTACTTTCTATCCCAGTTAAAGTGCTTGATTCATGCACAGTTCCTGATTCCGTACAGCTTGTCCAAGAAGCTATTATTGGTGAGAAAATGAATGCGCTGTAAGTCTCTTTTTTTCCTGAACTGCTCTTCTGTTATATCAATTCGAATGTTTTTAAATATTTTGGCAAATTCACATAGTCTTTAGAGTATGCATGAAGATTTTAATTCAGTGATTTGAACGACTGCAACCAATTAATATCACTTCGACGTATACGACATTTACCTGAAGTTCAGCAAGTTCGAGCACTGATGATAAAAGGTTGGGAGTTTCAATTTTTTTAGATAGTAGCAGTCAGTTACTGTATAAAACTTTTTTTTTATACCTGTATAGAAATTTAGTTCGATGCATATCGACGAGCGAAGCACAACAGTATGTTTCGAAATGTATTCCTCGACACTTGCTGATATCACGGGCTCGTGAATGTGCCCGTTTGGTTTGCAATATTTGGGTACTAAAGAGTGAATTGCTTTATCCTGATCAGGAATCAGTCCTTCAGTACGCTCGTGATCTCATCCTTTGTCTATTTAGTTCCAATCTGCCTGTCAGAAGGTAATTTTCCCTACATTAATTTAACATTAATTTCATTTTTTTTAACATTTGAATTGATTAAAAAAAATTTCTTCCTAGCTTTTTCGTCTTTCTTTTTTGTTTATCAAAATTGAGCAAAATTTCAGTTATGCGGATAAATTTACCCTCGGATTATGTTTCGAAAAATCTTCAGTACTAAAAAATAAACAGGCCTTCAATTGAGAAAACTTGGTTTTGAGTTTGAAAATCAAGTTTTCAGGCTGGATTTACAAATGGCGTTCGGTTTAAGTACTTCTGATCTTGATGGCATCTTGAAAACATTAAACCGAATAGTAGTAGATGAACATGAACGAAGCTGGAAACTAAAACATGATGACATGGAAGAATTTGGAAAGAGGTATGGAATTACAAATGAAATACATTCTTCATTTTCTCATCATTATGATGTGTTCATGAATACTGTTGATGATTGTTGTTGATAGTATCGAATCGTAGGATTTCGTGTTGTTGACATCAACGAATTTTCCTTCGAAAAGGTCTAACTGAGCTAATTGATTCAGTGAATTTACTGTTCGAGATTCTCCTGTAATCTCCATCGGTGGTCCCCTTATTTTTGAAGGCTCCTCAGTTGTATTTTTCTCCCGCACTTCGGTCTTTGATTATTAATGACTGTAAACTATCTTTGTTTTCTTTTTTTCATTAAATATCAATAATGCTGAGTCTTCACAGAATAGCAAAAGTAAACACTTAATTGAGTTCTGTATAATAGACTAAAAAGATTTATTTTCATAAGCACTTGTTCGGAAGTTGAAATTGAGAGAGTATATTACTTTTATCATTTAAACTTTCGAAGTCTTGATTTTTGAATTAAATTCTGCTCTTCTAAATAAAATTAGGGATTCGGGAACAACATTATCTATTCTTCCAAATATTGCAGCAAGGACGAGTTAAAAGTGTTTATTGAAGAAAAACGTTATTGGCACAAACGTTGGGAAGAAATACATCGTTATTTAATGGCTAGGAAGGAAAAGGCAGGAAATATTGTGCGGAGGAAGAAACGAGTCAATAATAGGTTGGTGCTTATTTAATTAATGGTATGATTAGTGATAGCACTCAAAACTTTTTTTAACGGCTTGATATGGGGATATTATTCCAATATTTTTTCGGTTAAAAGATGAATATTTTTGGATTTAAGCTTTCTATTGAAATGTTATTTTTTCAATTGCTTAATTCTCTCGGTCATAAATTAATGTTTTTATATGACCATTTGGTGAAAAGATTACTACTAATTCGTCACATCTATACTGTCCGGTATGACTGCCACAACGCAGAATCGTCGTATTTTAGAACGTATAATAAATATATTGGATTGTGGAATAAGTTTGATGATAAAGATTATACCTCTTAACAATTTGATAAATACGTATTTCTTACTTAGACAGAATGGTCCAAATGATAGAGCCCTGAGGAAACGAAGTAGTATGAAGACTGTTGTGATCGATTGAAAGAAAATTTCACTATGTTGCGATTTATTTATTTCACAAAATTAATAAAAATAGTCCTCATAGTTTTTGTGTTAAAAGTAATAAAGGAATGATTGTGTTTGTGATTATTACATTGAGAACAGCCTTGAATAGTATTTTATTGTCCAGGCATTAAATTAAAATAAGAAGGAAAGACATCGTAAGACAAAAATTCGTTTAAAAAACACGAAACATACTAAAATTAGTATTGAAAAATAATTACTTCATCAACCTCCTTAATGAAAATGTGCAATCGTGGAATTACAAATCCAGAATCCAAATTTTAAATAATTTAAATTTGTCATTCTTCATTGAACGATGATCAATGTATTCCATTTCTTATTACGTTAATTTTTCAGGACATGTTTTTTATGCTATAATATCAGTAATTACAGTAGATTGATAGATATTGTTGAATTTCTAGCTTTACTCGAAATTTCACTAAAATTTTTTAGTGATTCTTGTTAAAAATTAAAAAAGAAAAAAAATATTAGAAAAAAATTAACGAATTTAGGTAGAATAATCTTAAACTACTTTCAAAAAGCAATCACTAATTAAGCAAATATTTATACTGTATAAATAATAATTTCAACCATACGTATATTGTTTAATTATGGGAATTTTTAATTTCACTATGAAAAAAGATCACAATATTTCAAACAGCGTTAATGTTCCAAAAAAAAAAAAAACAAAAACTCCTAACAATAGTACTGATTGACAGGTACATAGTAGAATTATAAGTGAAATAGTTCAAAACATGAAAAATACTCCAAAAATTAGTGTAATCTTTATCGTCCAAAATTTTTTACAATTTATGCATGATTACAAAAAATTTTTGGTATTACGGATAACCGGTTGACGTTGATGGTTGGTAATGTGCCTGCGCATATAAAGGGTATGGTGGTTGTTGTTGTTGTTGTTGTTGTTGTTGTTGTTGTTGTTGTTGCTGTTGTTGCTGCTGTTGATGATGTTGACGATGTTGAAATTGTGGTTTTGCAGTTGTAAATTTCAAATCATATGATTGCTGTGATGATGATGACGGTGTAATGGCAATACCCGTTGAGCTAATTCCCGTAATTATTTCACTCTGAAATAATTTTTTTTTTTTTTTGTATTGAATATACATTTTCGAATTGTGTATATACATCATCTAGAAAAGAACAATCATATGAATTTATAGGCCTTTCTTTACCTGTTCAGAAGCAAGACTTCGAAGATCGGTAAGTTTCATCAATAAACGAGAAAAAATATTTCGTTGTTTCGGTCTTAGAGCATCAACGTATGATTGTAGTGCGGATGTGTAAACTTCCTGGATATCTTCCACTGATTTTGGTTGAAGTAAACCGGGTCGATCTAAAATAAAATGTACTCATCAGATTTCCATTTGCAATTGCTAAACAATTTCTCTTTTTGAAGATTTATAGTGTCGCAAAAAAAAACTTTAATGTGCTATGAAATTAATTAGAAATTAAGTGCTTATCAAATTTCATCTATTTCCACTGATAATCAATATTTTAAAATTCACAAGTGCTGAGAATAAAAAAAAAGAAAGATGTTGCAATTTCAAAATCAAAACAATTATCCGTTTAGCTTTAAAAGCTTAAATATTTTCATTATTTAAAACTTTCAAATCCTTTTAATCTTTTAGAATTGCAATATGCATTATAAAATTAAAATGCAATTTATAGATTCAGTAATATTCAATATTTATTGCTTGAACTTTTTTTTTACTGAAATTTGCAATTTTCAATCTTTAGAAATTGCAATATGCATTATAAAAAATTAAAATGCAATTTTATAGATTTCAATAATGTATTCAGTATTTATTGCTTGAAGTATTTTTTTTTACTAAAAGATATTGAATTAAATTTGAATAAATTACCTGAAAAAATAGCAATTGCAGTAAGCAAAACATATTCCGCTTGATGTAATTGCATTTTAGAAAGAGCATGAGCAAAATCGAACATTAAATCAGCTAAAGGACCAATGAATTCACGATATTGCTCACGATCATAGCGCCATTGTTTTGCTTCATTTCCAAGGACAACTTTTTCATCAAACATATCATAACAACGTGATGTTCGTAGCACGAGTACTTCCGTTTTGCACGTCTAAAAATGAACAATTTTTTCTTTCATGTTATGGATGTTTTTCATTAAAAGATTAAAAATGAACCTCTTATGTTATCTTTAATAATCGAAAGAAGAAACTATTTAATATAACATTTAGATTTAAATTAAAAACTTAAAAAGCAAATGTAAGAAGATTTATTGATTTTTTAACTTAAAAAAATTTTAACCAAAATTTCACCAAAAAATTGGTTCAATTATGTTAATATTGTAGTTCGGAAATTTTTTAGAATCAATAGCTCTTGTGTAACTTTTAAATTTTACTAATTGAAGATTAAAAGAATTTCTAACTTTATGTAAAGTACGTTTATCTTCATCTGAAAGTTTGCAAAAACCAGGCAAATGCATTGTGAATTGATGAATTAATTGTAAGCTTAAAATTGTTAATTCAGCAAGTTGTTGATAGGAATTACCCACTTCATTACGCTCCTGGAAAAATCATTGTTTAATCCTATTATTAAACATTTCCATTTTAACTTTAATTTCCTCACTAATTTTAAAATAATTTGTCCTGTCCATAATAATAAGTAATAATGATAATAACTAATAATAATTAGTAATAACTAATAACAATATTAATAATAATAATAATTAGTAATAATTAATAATAATGAAAATAACAACAATGATAATAGTTGTTATTATTATAATAAATTTGCTACTATAAATTCTTTCTTCTTTATTTTGAAGTTTTTTTTTTTCAACTTCTCCAAATTAATAAAATCAAAGAACAAAAAAATTAATCCATAGAGTTGTAAAACTGAAATGTTCGGAGAGCAATAAAGAACTATTTTTGTACTAAATATTTAAAGTTTAAAAAAAAAAAAAAAACTTCAAAAATTTTTTATTGAAATTCACCGAAATTTTCATCAGTGTATCAGTAGATGGTGTGGCAAATTGTTGATCAATTGTTACAATTCGATTAATCAATTCTCGCGTTTCCACGGATAATGCTACATAATCATCCGTTGATTCCGATGAGCTAACAGCTTGCTGTGGACTTGCACAATTTGTTCTACGTTGTTGCTCCAATGCTGTACGTAATTTTTGTTTTGCTTCACGTTTGATTCGGCATTGATCTTCCGGAATCACAACTAAAGGCACTCGCGAGTCAGCGCGTAATCCTGAATTTTTTTTTTTTTTGTGATCCTAATAGGGGTGCAAACTTAAAATTAAAATACATGCAATAACATACCAAAAAGTTGATTATTGATTTTGGTGCAATTTTAAGTGTATGCAAGATAAAATTGAAAATGATAATAAATGTAAACAATAAAAATTTTAAATATCATAAATTTTCAGTGATACGATTAGATGATATGTATGAGTAAATTGATGAAAAAAAAAAGAGAAAAAGAAAAGGAAACAAAAATGGGTAACAAAATATTTAAATGTGACAAAAAAAAAAAACGGTAAAATCTTCACTTAAAACTAAAACATGCAAATGTGCTAAAGCAAAATATTTTGGATGAAAAATTGATATTTCAATTTTTTCTTTCGTAAATAAATCGTAACTGAAGTGCCGGATAATTGTTAACATTGACCCCCTTGAAAGGAATTCATAATATTCACTGATAAATCGTTTCGTACAATAAATTACTGCTAAATTATCAGTTATTTCTAGTGTTAAAAACAAAAAAAAAGAAAGCAGTTTTTTTTTTTTAGACTACTTACTGATAAATAATTAAATAAATGCAGCAGAAGAGTTTAACGGTAGATTGAAAAAAAAAAATTGGATAAGTTAAAATTAAGAAAAGAAAAATTAATATAGAGAAATTTGTGAGAAAGATGTCAATTACTGAACTTACGTTCAGGCCTCATCCCAATTTCCATACATTTTTTCAAACGACAATGCTGACATTTTCGTCGCATATACATATCAATATCACATGATTCACCGTATTTACAATGATAAATTGCTTTTCGAGTAACAGAACGTCGAAAAAATCCTGAAACAATTTTTTAAATATTTTTTTTAAAACATTTAAAAATATTTTCAGCATAATTTCATCTTAAGAAATTATTTTCATCGTTAAAAAATACAAATCTACAGTAATTTTAACGCCTATAGAAATTAATTATACAAAATGAACAGATAATTTAATACCTTTGCATCCTTCGCATGTAAGAGCATTATAGTGATAACCAGATGCTTTATCACCACAAACTAAACAAAGCTCTTCGGTGATACCATGCGTAACCATACCGCTCGAAGAAGGTACGGATGGAGAACGAATCGATGGACAATGGCTACCGCTAGGCCTTTTCTTATTACGATATTCATTTTCACTATGAGTCTGTTGAAAAAAAAAAAAAAAGAGGAAGAATTTAGATACATATTGCTGAAAATTAAATAAATACATTAAAACACTTTCTCATTAATTTTTATAAAAATAATTAAATACAAAACTATTTGTAGCTTCAATCAGAATAAAAAATTAACTCATTTTTTATTAATTATTTAAGTTTAACAACTGATAAACCCTTTTAGTTTACATTTCAAAGATGCTGATTGCAAAAGAAAAAAATATGTTTGTTTGTTTGTTTTTTTTTTTGGCACGAAATAGACAGTCGTAATGAATGTAAAAATATAATTAGTGAAAATCATTTAAAAGATTACCATTAAATTATCATTCTCTTTAAAAGTATGAAAAAAACCTTTCTTTTAGTCAAAAATTTTTTTTTTTTCAAATTGTATGAAGGATGATAAAATCGTATTTTTTTTTCTTTTGGAAAATTAATTTGAAATGAAAGTT